TGCACTACAGGCACTTTAATCTGATTTCCAGGTGCCGGCTCATTGCGTGCCCCACACCACAAAGCCGAGGAGAAAGAAGGAAGCTGGAGCAGGGCATTAAAAAACATGACCCTCATCACCAGGACAAGTGGATCTGCACTTCAGAGATAACAGCACAGACATCATAAGGGCAATTGATTACTGGCCTTTAATATGAAATCATATAAAAGCATGTTTTTTCTATAGATCTAAACCAAATAAATTTCAATTTGGTTTGGCCTTTTCTTATTAAGTTGATAAATGAGCAATTTTTAACCTGTCCTTTATACTGGAAGATTAAATAGATACAACACTGGTAGAACCAATGCTTGTGCAGTTTCAGGGCCTTTCTGCAGTTACCTCCTTTGCTTTTCTGTTGCATTTGTGTTGTCTTACCACGATAGCAAGATCCCCAAACAACTGGATAAATACACACATCTAGAGATAAGCACAGAGAGAGAGAATGCTCTAGACAAAACAGAGAGAGAAAACCAGCTATTTTTAATACTACCCACTGAAACTCACATAAATATGTGAGTTAAACCATGCCTGTAAAAAAATCACATCCAGATAAGAAGATCAACAGAGGTGTGAAGCAAGTCAGTCATCCACATCAGCAAGGTGTGAGCTTCAAATCATCACTTTGAACTGAAAGCATTTAAATGGCAACATTATAAAGCAGACCAGTAAGCTTTAAATGTCACAAAAGGAACAATTCTGAAATAAGAACAAGCTTAGCGCAGCTCTTGCTACTGTAGCCAGTTCTTGACTCTGCTATTATCCATGGCCCTGGTGCCAGCTCCAGCTGTGGGTGCACCCAAGTGGCTCACAGCCTTTTGAGTACATTTGAGAGGTGACAAAAATGTGTGTGTTTGCTTTGCACTGGAAAAGGCTCCATTTTTATTCAGGGTCACTTGCTGGTCTCATTGAAGGTGCTGAGAGCAGCAACCTTGTAATCCTGCTGGGGGGCCCAATATCATCCAGAAGGGAGATTTACATGGTTGGGAAGAAGCTTCTCTTAGAAGAAGTTCAGTATTTGAGATCTTTCCTGCTACTGAGGATGGTGAAGGATGAGACCAGGAGTCACTGTAGTGCCTGAGCCAGGTAACAGATGCTGCCCCATGATAGAACAACCTTCCCTTCAGGTTCCTGTACATCTCATCCCACGTGTTCACCTCACCATCCCTGGGCACAAGGGGTGACATCCCACAGGTAATTCCGAGGATGTCCCCACCTATCCATCTGGTACACTCAACCTCAAGGCATTTCCAGAGCTGCAGTATAACACATTCTGAGTGCCAGCTCTGCTCCATTTCCAAATGCCACGGGACAGTCACCGAGAAATGGGCACAACTCCCAGAATTCATCTGAAAACTGATGATCCAGGGAATTTTCATATGGAGTAGATCTCCCAGTGAGAATTTCTCCTGTTCCACACCTCACCTGCCTGAAGTCAGGTGTAAGAACAGAGGTCATGGGACTCCTCTATTAAAATCCAAGGTCATTACAACTTCTTTAGGATACACACAGATCTGTACAAGAGAAACTGCAAGAAGTTGCAAAAGGCAACTGAGGCAGATGTTGTGAGTATGAAGAATTTGTTAGATGTTTCCATAAAATAGCACCATTAGGATTACCTTCATGAAACCTAGAAGAGGATCTTACTTCATTCAATCATTTATCAAATTGGGCATCCAGAGACACAGAAAAACTTCTAAAAATTCTTGTAAAGACAGAAAAAAATGAGGAAAGTAAAAAGAATCCCCTCTCCAAAGCATAAGCATAAAAATCCTTCTGTGATTACAAATCCAGGCTATATTATTTCTTAGGCCATATTATTTCATAGTATGAATTAGTTCAAAATGCTCTTTAACAATGGAATATGACCCAACAAGCTCTGTAGGAAATCACTATTTTTAATTCTAATTCCACTGATGTTCCCAGAGATTTCCTGACTGGTAAATGACTGAAATCCAGACCTGGTGAATAACCACGAAAAATAATTCTTAATTGAAAAAGACATTCTCTAGCACATTCTACACAGAAATTTCATTTAATAGCAGCTTTTATCTTTGTATTTGCAGATCTACTCGAGAGAAACATAGATACCAATCCTTTTTTAAAAAAAGCATTTTGATAGAACTATTTCCAATACAGCCTTTTCAAAATCCAAGGGTTACATCCTGAAATCAATTAAGAAGTTGTGAACTCATGGAGAAAAAACACCAAGTAGTTTTATATTTGTCTTCTGTAGGACTAGAAGTAGCTCAGCTAAAGCTCAAGAAAAAAGTAAGCAAGGAGAGGTGGATTTTTATTACATGCTAAAGTCCCATGTTGTTTTGCAGTGATAGGGGAACAAAATTAAAAGAAATACTGGAAAAGATAAAGCTCACTATGAAGCCTGACCACCACACAGTTCTGGTTTTAGATATTTATGCCTCTGTAATTAGCTGAGAAATCTGAAGGAAATCCTCCATTCACTCAGTGTGTGATACTTGCTCTAAAACCATCTATTGTTTAGTCTACAAGTACTAATACAGCCCACAAGCAGTGGAAAGACACAAAGTGCCTCTTTCATGCAGCACAAAAAAACAGTTTAAGGTTTGCCTTTTTTTTTTTTAACAGAACAAGTTTTGCTGCATTCAACAAAACAACTGCTCTTCATACAATCTCTGTGTTCCCTGGGACTCTACCACTGATGATAATCAAGAATAAAATCTCCTGTTTGAGCATGTAGCTCCTGCAGTTATTAGCACTGTTGGTAAATAAATTCAATGATTACAACATCTAATAACATCTAATCATGGACTAGTTTAGGTTGGAAGTGATCTCTGGAGAACATCTTCTCTAAACCACCCCTTTGAAGGAGGGTGATGTACAGCAAATCACTCAGGGCAATCTGTGTTTCAGGTATCTCCACAGATGGAGATTCCAGAACCACCTAGGCCAATATGTTCCTGTCCCTCCTAGAGAGTACAAAAACCATGTCCAAAAGCCAGTTTATTGTCATCAGTTAAGAGGATCCCAGGACACACTGAGGACTCCACAGCCACTGCTCCTCATCCTCATCCCACGGCCAAGAGATGCTCCACGGTCAGGGAGCAACATGACCATGGGGACGAGTGGCACCTGTGACAAGGGTGCAAGTGAGTGGACACACACTCATTTAATACAAGTTTCACTCTCCCTCCAACAGGGTCTTTCGCTGAGTTTCCTCACATTAAGCTCTTGAAGTCTTTTACAGAACGAATTGTATACTCAGGGAGTCAACAGAGCCCAACTCCCTACACATACCAGAGCAGCAGTTACTGGCACAGCAAAAGATGACTTCAACCTTCTACTTTTTCCCTCCTCTGATAACCCCAGGTCTCAGCACTGAATTCTCCCTTCTTTTCAGTTGCTCCTACTAATCCTCACACACTTCTCTAACACACAAGGGTGTGACTTGACTCCATGCTTGCTACACTCACCTGAGCTTTCCTCTTAACCAGAATCCACAGTGTGTGAAATCCTGTGTATGCAGTGAATTCACTGTCAAACCCTACCCCTTCCTGTCAACTAACAGTTCAGAATGTCATACTCTTCTTATAACTGGCCCCAGGTGCTGAACCCTAAGCACTGAACAACTTCTTCAGGTACATTTCAAAATACTTCCCCAATAAAGCACATCACGTACACACACATCCAGTACTAAATGAAAAACTAATGACAAATAACATCATGTGGCACACAATATATTGCACAAGAAAAGGAGAAAGGCATGAGAAAATTGTCAAATAGCTCTTCCAACAGGTACCACGAAGACTTCTACTTCAACCTCCCATCAGAAAATACACACTAAGTAGCATAAAGATAATTCTCCTGTACTTGCTAAGTCTTTAAATTACTCATTTTCAACAACCAAGCAGAGGACTAAATACTAAACATCCCACTTCAGCCTTGTACTTACAAATAGTCTCTTTCAGCAGCAGAGCTGAAATTCAAGTACAATTTTACTAAACTGTTTGCACAGATCCTCTTTTCCTTGGCTGAACTAAACATTCAGATGGCAACACCATTTTTTTCATTAAGATCAGTGTTTTAACCAGAAGTGAGAAAGCCCTTGCTTAATAAACGATGAAATTTAGCAGCACAAGGGAAATTAACAAATATATTGAGAGAGATAAAAAGAGGCAGAGTGTTGGAGGAACATTCAACCTGGTGGGATGTTCTCTGTGCATCACTGGGCCACACCAAACATGCACTTCCCATCAGAGCTCAAAGTCCAAGAAATGACAAAAACATTTTTTCTCCAAGATCAAACATTAAGCCCTTCCATAGTGATACATATTCCAACAAAAAAAAATCCCAGACCTTCCAAATAACCACTTCATGAACCTCTGCATCCATTTTAAACAGGTTTCCACTCTCAACAGCTTACAGTCATGCTTCTCTGATTTGGTTCAAGTCCAATACTTGTAGTCAATATGTTCAGAGTAGCCTAACTTCTGACAGCAGAATCTTGGGTAGGATAGAATATAAAAACATATTCTGTCTTGGTAAGCTTGATATACAAACAAAACTCATTTCTACCCCAACTCAAATGTACTACACACAGCACTCAGCAGATAAACTGCTTCTGAGATAAACAAATAATATCTGAGCTTTGTTTGCACAATTATCTTACAGCGATTAATTGTTTTACTGCAATCACTGTTTATAAAACAACAAATTAGTGAGTTCTGATAATTGTTGATAATGCCCTGTTTCTCTGTTTTAATTATTAGCTTGTACCCAAGTAGACAAAGAGAGAAAAGATCACAGATTCACTTTCTTTAAAGACAGAAAGTGTGCATGTAATTATACAAACATATATAAAAAGCAATAAATCAGTGATTTAATTTTTTTTTACTTTCCACATGCTACTGCCATTGTTAATGTTGCATTTCACTCTTCCTGTACAAACTCCCAGGTGAATGAGAAGCAATGAAGTCCACCCTTACCTTAATATTGCAAGCTTGTTCCATGAGTCTCCGGGCGTTCTCCTCAGCTCTGTACCTCTTGGGCAACTGAACCCTGAAGAATTTTAAAGCTCCTTCAAAATCAGCCTGTAGAAGGTCCTCTTTGGAGGTCTGCAATTAAACACAGGGAACTACAGTAAACCCTGGGAACATGCAGTCACGCTCTTCTATTTGATTTGTCACTTACTGGATGCATTCCAGACCACCAATATTCACATTAGCTCAAAGTCATCCTCCTTGAAATCAGCTCTCTTAACTCTGCTTCATAAAACAAGCAGAGACTAAAGCCCATCCAAGGAATCCTAAGCAGGGCAGCACACAGGATTGCAACATGGGAATGGATTTTATCCTTCTATACCCTGCCAGGTAAGGAAGAGATTCTGGCTCAGCCTGTCAAGATGTCAGTGATGAGGGAAAAAAAAACCCAAGCAAACAACAAAAACCTAGGAGAAATTATTGTATTTCCTGGAAAGCTTGTGCATTAGACCATAACTGATTGTCATGGTACTGCCTTAAAAAAACAAAGTATATAATGTATGTATAGTCACAGACATGAAGAGCAAAAGCACATGATTCATACAAGGTATCAGTAAGTCAGTGTGCTGAAAAGTCAGTGACACAATTTCTCAAAGAACACCATGCCAGAAAATGTTCTACGTGCTTATTTCTACATCTCCCATACTCCTGAACCTCTCAGCGGCATCAAGGCTAAAAGGTCAGAAGATGTTACACATTCACCATGAATCCACTCCTGCCACTGATGGAGCAATGTGATTCACAGGGACAAATGTACTCATCCTCCAGGTTACTAAGACCTGCACCAAGAGATTCAGAAGGTACCAAATTCCAAGTCTTGGAGTAGTTCCTTTAAATGGTTCACAGAAACTGAAGGTCCTGATGACGTTCAGGACATCATCTCAAAAAAGTGAATTTCAAGGGTTTTCACCCAGAAAAGAGTAAAGAAAACTCTGTCAGCATAGGTACTCATATGGTAGAGATCTACACTGTGTAATGTGTATAACTGCAAATACCTCAGCAGCAAGGCACTTCGGGTTAATTGCTGAATTAATTGCTCATGTACCACCACCACCATTTCCACATGTGCCAACATTTCCATGTGGGCATCCTCTGCTTTCTCACATAGGTGTAAAGTTCGATTCTAAACTATGTTGTTATCCACTCCAATCCAGAGAAACCCACAATGGCTTGGGTTGGAATGGACCTTAAACACCACCTCATTCCAACCTCCTGTCATGGGCAGGGACACCTTCCATTATCCCAGGTTTCTCCAAGCACCATCCAACCTGGCTTTGGACACTTCCAGGGATCCAGGGGAAGCCACAGCTTTTCTGGGCAACCTATGCCATGGCCTTGTGATCCTCATAGAGAAGAATTTCTTCCCAGTATCCCATCTAACCCAGTCCTCTGGCAGTTTGAAGCCATTTCCTCTTGTCCTGTCACTCCAGGCCCTTTTCCAAAGTCCATGTCCAGCTCTGCTCTTTTCTTTCCTTATTGAGTTCACCCAAGATCCATTTGATCCTCCCGTTGTTCATTGCCAAAGAAGCTGCTGGGTCATCACTGCAGGGACCCAGGAAAAGCTGTCTTGGGGATGCTGACCAGAAACATTCAGCTTTACAAATCACCACGTTTGATCCTGTCCACAACCCTTTGGCAGCCGCACAACTTGGCTGAGGCTCAATCAGATGAGGCTGACGTGTTGACCAGAGGCCAGGGCAGTTGGTATGGGATGAATTAGATCCACTATGGTCACCATCACACTTCTCCTGGATGAGTTTTCCTGAGGTTATGAATGCTCTTGCCACACTTAAAGCCAGATCAACCTGAAATGGGCTGGTTGTTGGAAGCTGCCGAGTGTGGTGGGAGCAGCCGGTTGTGCCCAGCACCACTGCCAAACCTGTGCTGGAAACCAAGGGCTTCCAGGGAAGTTCAGTGGATAACGGTGGAAAAGCAGTACAGGTTTCATAGGATCATAGAATTGTTAAGGTTGGAAAAGCTTTCTAAGATCATCGAGCCCAAGCACTTACCCAGAACTGCCAAGTCCACTGCTAAATCATGCTCCTAAGTGCCACATTTGCACATCTTTTGAATTCTTTCAGGGATGGTGACCCCATCACTTCCCTGAGCAGCCTGTTACAATATCTGACCACCCCTCCAGTGAAGAAATATTTACTAATACCCAATCTAATGGATATCAGGAAAAAAATCAATTCCAATACCCAGCTCACAGAAATGGATCTCTCTTCCTTTGTTCTCAGCCGTGTTGGCATCTGCCATCACTACCCAATTCAAACAAATTTCCCAATTACACTGCCAATTTGCCTTCTTGGGATACTCTTGCACATCCAATCCTCCTCCTCTTCCCTTCCTTTACAGCAATTCTATGTAAAACGTTTCAAATCAGATTTAATTTCCCTAGGCCTCTGCTTGAATCACTGTTATAGTACTATTTCTAACAGTCCCAAACAAATTACATTTATTAAACTGTAACTATTGACAACTTCAAGTTCTCCGTGCTGAAAAATCTATAGTCAAAAATGAAATGAAAGTCCTGTAAGATCATGGAAACAAGAACTTCTCTAACACAGTTTGTTGAACTAAGATTATAGTTATGAAAACTGCAAACCATCACATTGTACAGGTTGGTTAAATGAGTGACAGAGCCCAGGCTCGTCAGCTCCTTCTACTTCACTGAATATTTTCATTTCCTTAAAATCATCTGTTCATCAAAATACTAGTTTCAGTATTGAAATCACAAGAAAGAAAGTGAAAAGTAGAACTTTTGGCATTCCAGGACTCACATTTATTGACATTTTGTGACTAAAATCAAATAAAGATAACTCTGGAAACTTATGGCAGCGGTTTGAGAGGCGGAGATTTGTAAATCCTTGGTTGAAGTCACTCAACTCCTGAAACTCACCAACAGCTGATTTCTAAACAGCTAATTTCCCTTACCAAACCATCTGTAAGTTTAATGAGCTAATCATTACAGTTTGGCAGGTGCATTGCATTTTTGTGCATTTGGGAACTTCAGGAAAGTTTTTATTATTATGTTATTTTTAAATAAACATATTTTTTATTAAAATCTATTTTCTAACCCAGGCAAACAAGGAAACTCAGTCAGAACTATGACCCAAAGGCTCAGTTTGCCTTCTCAGTTTGACTAAATATGTCCTCAAATGTTCTTCCCATATCACTTAAGTATTTCAATACAGTCATATAATTATCTTAAATTAATGAGATGAAAAGTAGGAAAAGCCTTTTCCCATAAGTATTAGCAAAGCTTTCAAATCTAAAGGTAAGGTTTGGAAAAACAGCAGATATTCAAAAAGAAAGAACAGAATTTGAGAGACTTAAATTATGTTAATATTTTTTTATTTTTTTTTAGTAAATAATACTACTACTTTCCCAAAATATTTAGGAAACTGCGATTTAGACAAAGGGAAAAGCCTTGGATTTTTTTTAAAATTTAATTTCTCTGTCTTCAATTATTAATTCTGCAGCTTCATTTATTACTGATTTTATCAAAAGTCTTATTCCCACCTGGGAACTAACGTAACAGAAGAAATTTTGGATGAACCACACTGCACATCCTTCATTTCGTTCTTCCACCTTCATGCAAACAGATAAAAGTTTCTTATTTCCATAGAATTTTGGGTATATATTTAGATTTCTGTAGAATGTCAGTGAGCATAAACCACCTGTTTTACGCTTTCATGAACATGTGTCAGAAATGAGGCCAAGAAGTTAAAAACTGAAAAAAAACCTGTCCATGCTTTACTATTTAAATTTCCTTCTGGGGCACTCAAAATGTTCGTAAGTATCCTCCAACTTTTCGGAACACAGTGTTTATATACATATATATATATATATATATATATAATATAGAAGTATCTATTTAAAGTCCGTAACACACAGATTTTAACTTAAAAAAAACTTTCTGATTTTAATTTCTTAAAAAATATACACAGTGTAAAACCAAGCAACACAAGCTTTTTATTTCTAAGCAAGACTGCAGTGCTGCATGTTGCACGACTTTGCTCTGTGCTACCCTTTCACATGAGCCACAGACCTGAGAGCTGCTCTTCACCATGGAAGATCTTGACCTTCTGTGCTGGATAAACTCAGGCTCCAGGCCTGGGGAGGTTTGGTGGACAAAACTGTACTGCTGCAGTAAAATTGGAACACATTTCCAGGGCAATACTAAACTCCTTTGCTGGCATCTTTTCTGTCCAGCTATGTTATCAAACACTTCTTCTCCTAAATAAAACCTATTCTTTTTATAAGACAATGGTACAAAAATGCTGTGGAAAAAAGCCACCTCTCTGTTTGTGAGTGGAGAGTTGGGATCCACAAGCACTGATCTTGTGCACACTCAGTGATGTCCCTCTGCTCAACACTCCACCCCTGCCTTTCTATGTAGCTCCAGAATTACATGGCAAAGTTCATTCTGCCACATGAAGAACTGATGCCAGTGGGTAAGGGAAGATCCTGGCTTCACCCACTCTGGGTCATCCCAAAGGGAGTAAACCCCCCCAGAACTGGTCCTGTCCTATCTGCCCAAAAGTGTGCTCAGCTGAGGAGGTGATCAGAATTTTTCTAAGACTGGCATAAAAGGTTATAGATTGCATTTATCACATAACACTGCAATGACACATCCTCTACCCATCCCAGGCACTTATCCCCAAAACCACAGCAGAGAGAGAAGCTATGCACATTTAAAAAAAAAGTGCTTAATTTTATGAAACAGTTCTGATTAAAGTAAAATTTCTTGGTCCTCAGACATTTTTCATTTTTAACATATTATCAGAATGCAGTCTATCTTTTCTGAGAAGGGTGTGTGCCAAAAGGCCTGTATGTCAGGAGAGGTATATTTAGCTAATAAAACCTGACAGGGAATCACATTTACTCCACAAATCAAGTCTCTCTCATAACACAAAGCACTATTTGTATTATTTTGCCTTTTTCAAACTCTTTCATTCTCTTTTAATAAACAGCATTATGCCACTCAGCAAAGCAAAACTGCCTGGAAGATAAGGGATGTGAAATTGTCTGGTGTTCTCCATCTGGAGGGCCAGATACAAAGCCCGATT